TGAAAAGAATAATTGTTTATGCATGAAATATGATATGAGAAATTATATATATAATGCATATTTGCTTTAAGAGTAAAAGAAGCACAAACGGATATTTTTAACTTAATTATATGATGAATTAGTTAATAAGTGTAAGACTTGAGATGGCGGTCAACAACAACGTTGACCGATGGTTAATGGATTAATTAATATCGGTTGATATTAGTTAATTATACATTTATATGGTTGCATGGATTTGCATGGATTGTGATACATAAGCTTTATGTAGTGAATTAGTTATGAATGACTAAATATGATATAGACCCTATCTAGCGTGATATGTGGTAAGTCATAGGTCGGGTGGAGTACCCAAGGATCGGGCGGTTATCCTCAAAACTCGGTTATATAGGGTGGAGTACCCAAGGATCGGGCGGTTATCCTTAAAACTCGGTTATATAGGGTGGAGTACCCAAGGATCGGGCGGTTATCCTCAAAACTCGGTTATATAGGGTGGAGTACCCAAGGATCGGGCGGTTATCCTCAAAACTCAATTATAGGGTGGAGTACCCAAGGATCTGGCGTGTATCCTCAAAACTCATAGATTACATTTAATGATCTAGGACCGGGCGGTGTCCTTATGATAATTTATTTGAACAAGGAGGAGTTCTATACACTCATAGGTATATGGGTGGGTTGGGATTTAAGTCAAGGATATTGGCTACTATTATTTTCCCAAATAAACAATGACCTACGGGTCGGGTATTTCCAAGTGTATGTATACTAATATGTATTTCAAACTTGGGGGAAGGACTATACATATATGTATCATCCTATGTTTGGGTCTTATACTTGAACGCTAGTTATTCTATATTTAGCCTGCTACTCGCTCGGTACTTGTACTGACCCCTTCGGGGGGCCCCACCATTTTCAGGTTGAAGCTAGGGCTTGCTACTTGCACCTCTCTTACGGGTGATATCGACTCAGGAAGACGTGGTTCGTGCTTCCTTATTTTCTTTCAAACTACCGAACACTTGCTCATGGATATTTGTTCTACTGTAAACTATTTTTGGGGCTTGCATGCCCATGTTGTTGGCCGGTTGTGGCTTATGACTTACCGTTGAATATTTCCGCTATTCATTGGTTTTAATGTGATGTTGTTATGTATGTTTACTACTGAGTATGGATGGATTATATTCTCGAACGCCTTGTGTAATTAAGTGAGGTTGACTCGCGGGTGACGTCACTTGGTTATACGGCGGTTGTACACGCGCTTGGATTGCGGTCTGGGGCGTGACACTGGTACAAAGAATATTTTTGGAAAAAGGTTTACACGAAATTTTTTACACTAAAAATATAGACATTTTTAAAATTTGGGTTGGGCCAGGGCCAGGGGTGGCCACCCCTAGCTACGCCCCTGATTACACATGTGAAATTCACCAACTCTACATCTCACGGGTGTTCTTACTAGTGTTAGTAAAGGAAACTTGTGGTTCTTAGATGTGTAGATCACATTGATAACATGTCATTTAGTGTACTTTCACACCCCATAAAAATTGATAGGAATAATAAGAACACAAGGCTAGTTGTTGTGGCAACAGTTCACGATGAGCATCCTACTCTCATAGTTAAAACATCGGGAGGCCACCGATGAGAGTTTTGAGAATACTTGGAGCAAGAAATGAAGAAAAATGATAAAGAAAAGGCTAGGCACGGTCGTGCCCAGCCTTAGGAACGGTCGTGCCTATAGAACAAACGTGTACCTGATCATTGGAATGCCAGGCACGGTTGTGCCTGGCCTTAAGCACGCTCGTGCCCGAAGAAGAAAGATATTCCGAGTCCCTGAAATGCTAGGCATGGTCGTGCCAAGCAGGGAGGCACGCCATGCCTGGACGCGTTTTTCGTTGTTGCTCCGCAGGCACGGTTGTAGGCACGATCGTGCTTGGCGCCGTGCCTGACCCCGTCTTTCCTAGTTTCAGTCAAATTTTGTCTGTTTTCTATAAATAAGGCCACCATTATTCTGTTTAGGGGTTACGAACTTTAGAGAGAGGCATAGGGATGAGTTTTACGTTGTTTTTACGCATTGTTCTTCAAGACCCTGATATTATTTGTAAGTTCAATCTTTTTAATTAATGACAATTAATTCCATTCATCCCAATTCTGTTGATTTATCAATTATGAGTTGTGAGTAGTTTAATTAGGGATTTGGGGTTGATGAAGAGGGTTGATCATGATGTATGACTAGTTTCTTGATGGATTAATTGAATGAATGCCGTTTAATTTGTGTTTGAATAATTTAATTGATATCTCTTGTAACCTAGACTGCAGCTACAATTACATTTGCTTGTAGAATAAATTAAAAGAGATCTAGTTTATTCTAGGACACATTCACACACACTTAACCGTTCGCTAAGATATTTGTAGCGATTAAGGGGCCGTAAGATCGTTCGTCTTGGCAATAATTTAGTACCCTGTCGCATCAAGCATGGTCCCCTAAATTATTGTACTGTACGCCGCCAGAGCGGTAAGAACATAGTAATGATTAGCTAAGCTCAATTAAATCAATTTGATGTACTAAGCCTGATCTGTCAGAAATCTGTCATTAATTAGAGAGAAACCAATATATTTTTATTTGTCATTCTGCATTTAATTTTCCAAACCACCAATCTTGCACCATTGCTTTTATTTTATTTTCTTTTTAATCGCTGAATTTAGTTAATTCTTATTTCCCTTTTGTCCGTCCCTGTAGAGACTAGAGACTATACTCGTGCTTTTACCTTACATGCCTACTATACACCAAATTACCGTGATCAAAACCTTAGACTTTATTATGTTTAAATTTTATTTTTCGTTTCCTATTCAAATTTCACACCGGTGGGAGAGGAGCATTCCTCCCCACCGAGTCCTATAAAGTAATCCACCTTTGCTTTCGAGAGTAAATCGCGCATAGCTTGAAAAGCCCAATTGGGGATTAAAATCGAAGGCTCCAACAATTTGTTCGCCTTCTACCGCGCGCCTTAGGGATATGTCAGGCGTTTCAGTGCGTCAAAGGAATGGTGACAGTCGACCTTAAAACATCGAGAAAAGCAGTTTGAAACCACCACTTTCCTCATAAAATCTCCCTTTCCCACCGTCTTGTCGCTCGTTAGTTGCACGAGTACAATGTGAGTCACAAAAAGAGAGGAGTGGGAGAGATGGCGCTTTCAACTAGAGGAAACAATGCCAAACCTTATTATGCTGCCGCAGATTACTTTTATTTCGATAATTAAATTAAATTATTCAACTTGCCAACTAAAAAAAACATACCGGTTGATATGCCAATTAGTTTTATTTCGTCCCAAAATAAATGTTCTGTTTTGCTTTTCGGTCCGTCCCAAAATAATTATCGTATTTCCTCTTTTGGTGATAATATGTGGCTCATATCAATTCACCTTTGTTTATTCAAATCTCAACCACAACTTTTACCTTTTTAACCACTTTCTTAAAATTTGTGCTCAAGCAAACAAGACATTTATTTCGGGACGAAGGGAGTAAATAGAATATATTACTACCTCCGTCCTATTTTATGTGTCGCATTTGGTTTTAGCACAATTTTTAATGAAATGGTTGAAAATGTAAAAATTGTGGTTGAGATTTGAGTATAGTAAAGTGAAATGTTGTGAACCACATATAATTTTAAGACAAAAGACATATGTGGTTCTTTAAATTGTGCTAAAACCAAAAAAAGTATAAAAATATTTGTTAAGACACTTGTTTCGTTGCACAAACAAATAATTTTGTTAATGATTTCTTTGAATATTTGTTATTATTTAGCATGTCTTTGATTATAAAGATAACATATCAATTTTTTTTTTGAATTAAAGTTTTTGAGACCTATAGCATTATATTCATAAGATTTTTCAGCTGCTGATCAAAATGAGTTTGTCAAAGATTTGTCACGGCTTAAGAGAATATTGTCAAACGACTCAAACTCAAGCCAAGCTAGCAAAAACGGTTTTGCTATGAACAAATAGCACATAGTCTTGACAAGGAAATTTGTGATTCGTGAATAATTAGAGTCAGACTCGTTGATCCTTTGTAATGCAATATGATAAAAATTGATATATGTAAAACATGATTATGTAATTTATAGAGTTGTATCGAAGGATGAAATAGTAAACATGAATTGTACTTCATTTCAAACAACTATCGTCAAGTTATGTAGCATGTCGTGTAGCATTATACAACATCCTAGTTCGAAATCGATTGTTTATAGTATGAAATATAACTGGACCGAATTTTAATCCAAAATCAGAAATAGTGCAAGGATGATTAAATTCTAATTAATCTAAATTACGTTTATCCTTCAAAAGGTCTAATATTGTTATTTAGAATTGTCCCAATGGGTTGAACCGTAGACCCATAATTCATAGATGTATATCACGTGAATTCGATATTGAATAATCAATTACCTGTTATGCATGTTTGCACGGATTGTTGATTCTGTATGGCAACACCCCTTGAGAGAATTCCATGATTTGCTACTACATTATTTTTGTGTGTATGTGTTTTGTATTATACTATTATTCCATTAATTCTATTTGTTGCCTATATTTGTACAACACACACTTTTATTGAAAAAGAATAACACTTCATCTTTGCAGTTCCACATAATCGATCGGGCCACTCTTTGGCCGGGAGAGACTAAGTTCAGTAAGTTGTACTTATACCACACACGCACTTTCATTTATCCCATTTTTTATTTGTTATTTAAATCGTATATATGCACATTGTATATATAATATACTTCGTACGTTATGGATTTTGTTGTTGGATATATCTTGTTTTAAAAAAATCATATGGAGTATATTTACAATAGTGACAAGGCGTTTTGTTTTTTGAAATATAATTGACCAAATCTTTCCATTTTGATCCCATTTTATCAAACTAATGACTCTTCTATCTAATCAAACTGATGACCAAGAATACTACTCCTTATTTATTTTTGATGCACAAGTTCTTTTCATTTGAACTTCCACAGTCCACACTCACACACACATATTACTATATATAACGATCGTATAGGTGCAACCAGTATTCACTTCATATCTTTCGCTCATTGGGCTCACTAATAAATTAAATGTATGTCTCTCCGGCCATTCGATCTCCGGCCCTGAATTAAGCTAGCAAGTCAGCATTAAATACAGTATATACTACCTATATATCCTAGCTAGTACGTACGTCAAATATTTGAAGCTAAATATATAACAGAAATGAATCTCTCCGTGAATGGCGAATCGCAGGTTCCTCCCGGATTCCGGTTCCATCCGACGGAGGAGGAGCTTCTGCATTACTACTTGAGGAAGAAGGTGGCGTCGGAGAAGATTGACCTCGACGTCATTACCGACGTTGATCTCAACAAGCTTGAACCATGGGATATTCAAGGCAAGAAAATTCAAACACCATTACTAACATAAATAAAATGCACAAATAGAAAGAAATGTGGATATTTTCTTCCTCAAATATGTCAGATTCCTAACTAAGTTCTGTTTATGCAGTGTGTCTATGTTTTAGTCCTATTTGATGCAATTCCTTTCATTACTACTACATGTAGAGGCTAATTTGACCATGACCCCCATTTTTTTTAGTTATATATGTCCTTCATATCAACATGCATCAAATTTTGTCCTTTATTATATCATCATGCATTACATTCTGGTTCCATCACTGATTATATATATGAATTTGCGAGCGGTCTCGTAGAAATGTGCAAAATAGGATCAGGACCGCAAAACGACTGGTACTTTTTCAGTCACAAGGACAAGAAGTACCCGACGGGAAGCAGGACGAATCGGGCAACGGCGGCGGGGTTTTGGAAGGCAACGGGGAGGGATAAGGTTATATACAGCAATGGGAAGAGAATTGGAATGAGGAAGACCTTAGTTTTCTACAAGGGGAGAGCTCCGCATGGGAAGAAGTCCGATTGGATCATGCATGAATATAGGTTGGACGACACTTCCCGTAAACCCTCCGTAAGCTCACTCTCCACCGACTAAATTAAATGTTCCAGTCTCAGACAGTCAGACCTAGGCCTGGGACCGGTTCGGTTCCTAGGCGAAATATGTGGAACCGTTTGAAAATATGAAATTTTACTAACGGTTCGGTTCATATAAATTATTTTGTAGAACCGATAAGGAACCGAACCGTTCTTAACGGTTCGGTTCTTGTCATTTAACGGTTCCTAGTATTTAAAAAAAATCTTACAAATCACTGTTAAATTTGTGTCAAAAACACATTCAACGCTTGAAATTACAATACAAATATGTTGAACTTCATTTCAAACCTCAAAAGTTGAGTTTAAAAGATGAATACATAACAAACTGCAAATTTTAGAAAACAAAAACAAAACAAGATACTCGGTAAAGAAGCCCAATAAAACCAGTTAAATGAAAAATAATTTCAAATAGTTAAATAACTAAACTAAAATAGTGAATGTATTATGAAAATAGATAAGTAAATATACATTAAAATATATATACTAATAAGAAATATATATAATTTTAATTATTATATATAACGGTTCTTTAACGGTTCCACGTACATATTTTTTACAGGAACCGAGAACCGAACCGTTAATAAAAAGTAGGAACCGAACCATTAACAAATAACTAATAAATTTTGGAACCGAACCGAACCGGGTCATAACGGTTCGGTCCGGTTCGGTTCTTCGGTTCTTGGTTCCAAAGTCCCAGCCCTAGTCAGACCATTACTTGATTTTAATCTTCACTTCACGACACCTATTGGCTTCATTTTTCATTTTCATTTACCCAGCGCAAAGGCTCCCACTAGGATAAGGGGTCGGATGTACGCAGTCTTACTCCTGTACTAAAGCACAGAGAGACTGTTTTCGGATGACCCATAGTGAAAATCGTGTCCAAAATTGCATGGACTGACTGTTGCTTCACAACAAAGAAGCACAAGCAGTTTAGTGAGTCATTTTGCTTTATTCCATCATATTCTCAAGCCAAAAAATAATGAATATTTGCCTCCATTACAAATGATGAAAAAGGCTTTGCATGTCCTTTAAAAAATAATCTGGGTTTAATGTAGTAGTCATTATTATTTTTCACAAGACTTATTCACTTTTAATGGAGGAAATTTATACTTCAATTAATAAGATCATTAAGGAATTATAAGTTTATAGCATACGAGTATATTCTTATGAGTACACTTTATTTAACTTTTAGTCATAGAGCAATTACTATTAAAAAAATATAAAACTCATGATACTCCTTATATATATCCTATTATTGTCCGGTATAACATTACCGTTTTTAAGAGTTTTTTCCCAAAGGAGGGTAGTCTATAATCTTATTTCCCAATTGAGGGTAATTTTAAACTTATTTTTCAAATGAGGGTTGTTTTGTCCTTGTCATCCAATTTCCGCCACATCATTTACTCCTCATCATTCACCGTCATCAATCATTCCACGTCATCAGCCATATGAGTATTCTTTTAAAATATAAAAAAATCCGTAGCTCCCGGGAATTGAACTCACGACCAAAATGATGCATTTGTAGCTTGGAACGCATTGAGCTACATTGACTTATTTTTACAATCACACCAATATTGCTTGTGAGATTATTCAAAATTCACTTACGCAGCCTTAAAAGTTAAAAGTTATATTAAAAATTACATATTTACAAATTTACATATCCAAGTATGATTAAAATTAGACACTTAAAATCACAAAATAAGAGAACGACTTATTAACCACTCGAATAGTAAATTAGCAGAATGTGGGACAATTAAAGTATTATGAATTTCTTTGAAGTACAGAAGTATAAATAAATAAATAAATAAATAAATAAATAAATAAATAAATAAATAAATAAATAAATAAATAAATAAATTAACTGTACAGTTGAAATGTTAAGAACGTTCTTGGCCAATATAGTTCTATTTATCCTCTAACGACTACATACAGAGTATATAGACTTAGTACATACTTTGGTATTCACGTGATAATTGATCGACGACGAGTTTCTTCATCACTCATAAATATGTCATCTATACGGATGCTTTCTTTTGGATTGTTTTCAATCCCAGACCAGACCAGACTTAAACAGATCAGACCAGACTTAGACAGACCAAATCAGACCAGACCAACATCCTACATATACCATGCCTAATAAGCTGCCAAGTATCTTTTGGTGTTTCTAGTTTTGAATCTCGAGGAATAGAGATATTATTACCTAAAATATGAGTAGCATATTGACCAAGTCTCTAGCTAGTAAAGTTGATTTAACATTATAGTTGTAGTTTGGAATATATAAATGTAGAATTGAGTTTTAATCAAAATAGTACGTATCATAAAGTTGGTAATCCTTTCCAAAAAAGCATAAAGTTGGTAAACAAGAGTACTAAGACATATAAACAAGAGTACTAAGAGTATGTCGTCTCTGGTCAACGAAACAATCCCTTACAGATTATACCGTTTTTTAATGGTAGATTATATGATACTCATAATATACTTTTGTCCACATGGATCAATTAGAATGTTACAGTTAAATTATTTAAATCTAAATTAAAATTGATATAATGATTTGGACCAATCAAGTAAGTGTAGGTACGCTAGCCCATTCTTTAAATGGATAGGGAAGTTGTTACCTTTTCAAATTTGGTTTACTTATTATGAACTATTTATTCTTTTATTGTTCCAGCAGGACTCAAGTTTGACCGGAGAAACGTTGACCGGTGAAGAGGGTTGGGTGGTTTGCCGAGTTTTCAAGAAGAAGAACTATCACAAGTCTCTTGAAAGCCCTCGTCTTGCCGGCTTTGACCAAGTCCATCCTGGAAACGACGTCGTTCTTGATCAGATTCTCACCTACATGGGAAAATCCTCAATCCAAAACAGGACCAAAATTAGCAATAACGGCAGTAAAAATAAAAAGCTTTTAATGGACGGCTACGATGGAAGCAAGGAATTCACCGGCGCAATCCCGGCCGCTCGTTTCCTACACCTTCCGGCTCTCGAAACCCAATCCCCCAAGGAGATCATCTCACCTTTCTTGAGTCAACCATTATTTGAAGACCTTTTGACCGAGACTGAACCGGCCGAGGATTTCAAGCTGGCCGCCGGTCCGACCGGTTGGGCGGCTCTCGACCGCCTAGTGGCTTCTCAGCTCGACGGCGGCCAAGTCGAAGCATCTAGTAAGAGCTTCGCCGCCGCAGGTGAACTTAGCGACAGCTTGTACTTCCCGGCCGCGGATCACCGGCTGTTCGGTAGCGGAAATGATGTTTGTAACCATTATAGTTTACAAGTCAACGGCAATGGCGTTGACTTTTGGAGCTACACCCACTCCTCATCATCACCGTCTGATCCTTTGTCACATTTGTCCGTATAAACAGGCGTATATCCAACCATATATAGATACATATACGTATACATATACATACATGCATAATTATGTGAAGGAACATTAATCTCAATTAATAAGATAGTATTACTATCGTTGGTTATATTTACTAGTTAGTAGTTACTACTGAGTATAATAATAGGAGTACATAGCTTTTGTAGTCAAATGAAGTGTTTTGAAATTATATAAACAAGTGAAATCATACTTTACTGTACAAATAATACAAATCAAATAGGATTTGAATGAAATGAATATCTTTAATTTGTTTCTTGTCTCGTCTTCATAATGAGTAATTATGATCCCTGTGTTCTATCATTATCGTAAATTGCGTAATTAGTAAATTAATTACAGGAACGTAACAAGATCTAAAAACTCGAATATCGTCAGTTTTCGGCAAACATCAAAATATATCTACCTACTTTACTTTTTGGAATATATGACCACAGATATTACCTATCGATTTCTAAAATACGAAATATCAAGGGATTTCTTTTTGGTTTTTCAAAAATTATGATTAATGTTTTGTTTAATTGATCCAATCTTTTTCATTGTAGTTTATATCCAAACTCTGCCCCTCCATCCTCCCCCACACCAGCTGCCCTGCTGCCCAGCCGCTGTCCGAAGCCGTCCCCAAAAGTTATCCGAAGATTTTGATAATTTATTACGTAGTACTTCCTCCGTTCTTTAATTCTTACAACATTGTGATATTTGCATCATTCACAAACCTTACTTTGACCACAATTTTCAACTAATATACATGTTATTTTGGGTTGTCTTCCAGCTCAGGTCTCCAATTTCATCCACAAAGGATGAATATACCACTAGAGGTCTCAAGGGGGAAATTGGGCAACGACCTACGACCTTAATTTCCGGCCAATATACCCGGACGTCCACAGAGGAGGAAGAGGTTCTGATTTTAGGATTTAGGTTTCGGCCGACCCATCGTAATAGGAGAAACACGGCTTAAATAGGGACAAGCACAAAGAGACGTTGAAGGAAACTTACCATACCCAGAAGAGGATATCATCGAATATCTCACAAGCCAGAAGGAAAGAATCGCGTGCAAGGAAGAAAGCCGTTCAAGTGAGATGCATTGCAGATGGATGGATTAAAAGATGGGCTGGGTAACCAAAACTATATTGGGCTTAGAGGAAAGTAAGTGGGCCAATCCCAACAAATTCTCCACCTTATTGGACCCTAGTGGCGTAGAGTTTAAAAAAAAACTCTAAAACATACATGAGACTCATCATCGCTGGATTGCCTGAATAATCACAAAGACATATTCAGGCAAACGGGGTAAGATCACCAGGCAACTTATCCGCAATCAATGTTTAACGTGCGTTTGCACGACAACAACTTTTCGACCGATAGACATTTAGTCCCCATGTCAGCAGGATTAAATTCCGACGGAATTTTAATCAACTTGATATGACCTGCACTAACAATATCACGTATAAAATGAAATCTAACATCAATGTGCTTAGTTCTATCATGAAAAACAGGGTTTTTACACAATTGAATAGCAGATTGACTATCAGAAAACACACAAATGTCCTGCTTAAGACTACCAATCTCCGTTAGGAGACGTTTAAGCCAAATGGCTTCCTTAAATGCTTCGGTAGCGGCCACATACTCCGACTCAGTGGTGGATAGGGCAACTATGGGTTGAAGTTGAGATTTCCAACTAATGCACGACCCACAAAGAGTAAACACATAAGAGGTAGTGGATTTCCTATTGTCTCTATCATTAGCAAAATTAGAATCCACATAATCACTCAACTTAACCCCCTCAGAACACCTAGTGAAAACCAACCCATGATTAACAGAAGATTTTAAATACCTAAGCAACCACTTAAGAGCATTCCAATGATCTAAACCAGGATTAGACATATACCTACTCAAGCAACTAACAGCATAGGCAATGTCGGGTCTAGTACTCACCATGAGATACATCACGGAGCCAATAGCATTGGAATAAGGCACAGATTTCATTTTAGCAATTTCAGGAGCAGTCTTGGGAGACTGATCCTTACTTAACACAAAGTGAGACGCCATCGGGATAGAAACGGGAGTAGCAGAATGCATGTTATATTTACTCAAAATCTTTTCAATGTATGAAATCTGATTGAGAACTAACACACGCTTACTCCTATCCCTAACAATGTTAATGCCTAGGATCCTTTTGGCATCACCTAGGTCTTTCATAGCAAAGTTCTCACTGAGACGCTTTTGCACACATTTAATGGCGTCACCCGAAGGACTCACAATCAACATTTCATCAACATATAGCAATAAAAATACAGGCACAGAAGAAGTATTTTTAAAGTATAGGCAATGGTCGCATTCGGACTTGTGAAATTTCAAAGATGACATGCACTGGTCAAATTTGATATTCCACTGCCTCGGGGACTGCTTCAGGCCGTACAAGGCCTTCTTAAGCAAACACACATGATCACTCTTCATGGGATCCACAAAGCCCTCAGGCTGGGACATATAGATTTTCTTGTCTAAATCACCATGTAAGAACGCATTGGTGACGTCCATTTGCTTCATTTCCCAATCATTATGAGCAACAAGAGCAAGCATCATACGAATCGTAGTAAATTTAACTACAGGAGCAAAGATTTCAGCATAATCAACACCTTCCTTTTGAGTAAATCCCTTAGCTACTAACCTAGCCTTATATCTAATGTCGTTAGGCTCTTCCTTAACCTTAAACAACCACTTACAGGCAACAACGGAACTATTGGGCGGTCTAGGAACTAACGTCCAAGTCTTATTCGCTCTAAGTGACTCCATCTCACTTTCCATGGCGCAAATCCATTTAGCGGACTCAATAGACTTAAGGGCCTCTCTATAGGTTCTAGGTTCGTTAAGCTCAAGGGTCTTAAACACAGAGAAAGCAAACATAGAAGTATCACACATATGGAAAGCATAATCAGGCATACTATCAGCAGTTCTCCTAATTACCCTCCTACTTCTATCTCTAGCAAGTTGATAATCATGCAAATCATTCTCACTAGCATCCGCACTCTCATCATGCGATTCATTGTTATTTGAATGCACATGAGAATACTCCACCTCACTCGAAGTGGTGGTAGTATCATGCTCAGAAGAATCAGAATCATGCAATTCAGAAGAATTAGAATCATGCAAAACAACATTATCATGATTAGCAAACAAAGGGCTAGCAGCACGTGGTATGGACTCCACCTCAACGGGTGTACTACTAGGATCAGACTCAGAATCAGGAACTGACTTAACCAGACAAGGAAACTCGGATTCATTGAAAACAACGTTTCTACTCACCACAACTTTGAAACCTACCTGGTTCCTACTTAAACCCTATACCCCTTCACACCCTCGGGATAACCTAGGAAGACTCCTTTCTTAGACCTAGGATCCAACTTGTCACCTTGTTGGTGCACATACGCTGCACATCCAAACACTCTAAGATTAGACAAATCAAGGGGTTTGTTTGAAAAAACAGATTCAGGGCACTTCCCACCCAAGGGAACAGAAGGAGACCGGTTAATCAAGTAGACAGCAGTGTTAACTGCTTCACCCCAAAACTTTTTAGACAAACCGGCGGTGGCAAGCATACTCCTAACCTTATCTAGAACAGTCCTATTCATCCTCTCGGCTATCCCATTTTGTTGGGGAGTGAGTACAGGGCACCGTTTTGTGCCTTCTAATCCCACAATCAACACACAGTTGGTCCATATCCTTATTGCAAAACTCTAGACCATTATCTGTCCTAAGGGTTTTGACCTTCTTACCAGTTTGATTTTCTACAAGGTTTTTCCACTCCCTAAACTTCACAAAGACATCGGACTTATGCTCAAGGAGACGGACCCACACCTTCCTAGAAAAATCATCAATGATGGACAGAAAATATCTCTTACCCCCGTGGGTAGAGACACTAGCAGGACCCCACACATCCGCATGAACATACTCTAACACAGAGGTACACTTAGTAGGATTAGGATATGGGGAGGAGGGGAATGTAACCTTATGCTGCTTGCCCAACACACAAGATTCACAGAAGGGGATGGGGGACACAGAATCCTTACCAAAACAACCAGATTTATGCAAAATCTCTAAACCCCTATTACTCATGTGTCCTAATCTATTATGCCACAAAGCAGATTTATCAGAACTAACAACATGAGCAGAATCACAAAAAGGCTGAGCATGGCACACATACAAGTTATTCACCTTTTTTGCCTTAAACAAAACAAGGGAATTTTTCAAAACTTTCATGCACCCATTACCCCATTTACCCTCTAACCCACTACCCTCAAAAGCAGCAACAGAAAACAAGTTATGATGCAAATCAGGAACATGCCTCACATTTTTCATAGTAAACACAGTCCCATTATCAAACTTCAAGCATACATCACCCACCCCATGAATTTTGCATTTCTTATTATCAGCAAGAGACACAAAACCATTATTGCAAGAATCATAAGAAGAAAACAGGGATCTAAAAGGTGTCATATGATAAGTACAACCAGAGTCAATCAACCACTCATTTTCAGTCATGCTACTCAACACAGAATTGGCAGAATCACAAATCATAAAAACTTCTTCATGCAAATTATTATCATCTACCACATTAGCATGTTCAGACTTCTTCGGATGGGGACAATCCTTAATGAAGTGACTAGAATTACCACAATTATAGCACACTCTCTTCTTAGACTTACCTCTCTTTTTCCCCGGGTCATTGTTTTTGTTCTTATCGTTGTTGCCCTTCTTATGGTTTCTAGATCTACTCTTAGACCTACCCCTCACAAACAACGCTTCACCTGAGTCCCTAGACTGACTGTTACTACCCCTCGAGTGTCTAAGGTCTAACTCCTTACTCCTTAATCCATTAATGACTACATCCAACGAGATATCATCTCTACCATACTTTATGGCAGATTTGACGTCATTGTATGACTCAGGGATGGCATTAAGTAACACTATGGGTGTGTAGTCACCTATGTGTTTATCACCGGCTTGCTTAATATTCTGAATAAGCTTGTTAAACACATCTAGGTTCTCATCTATGTCCTTAGACAGGTCAAGCCTAAATCTAAAGAACTTCTCAAGCAAAAACAATTTACCAGGCAAAGAAGTATCGGTATACGTCTTATCTAACTTGTCCCACAAAGCCTTTGCAGAATCTATAATACCCACCTTCCTGAGTACTGAATCAGAAAGGTTCAGGTATATAGAGGAACAAGCAGTTTCATTCATTTCATCGCGCTTAGCAGCATCCT